ATATACAAAATGTTGAAGTCTAAAGTCACAAAAAATACAAACTTAAGTACATGAATAAAGTTATAAAAACATTATTTAAAAACAAAGTTCTGTATCTTCAACATTGGGCCAAAACAGGAAAAAAAGAAAGAAAGAGTGCATATGAAAAATGCCACATTTCAATAAAGCAGCCCTGACCAGTCTGGTTGCCTCACCAGTGAATACTGAGCCACTCAGGGTGACCATTATGGCAATACAGCATTTCATTATGGGACTGGCTGCTTCATATAAAATTATATGTGAAACATTAAATTTATTTCTTTCAAAATGAAACATCCAAGTGAAACAGAGCTAACAACATATACCAAATTTTACTTGGCTGCTAGTAGAAAATTTCAACAATTCCATAAATTCAAAAAGAAAACATTTGGAAAAAAATTTCAAATAAAAATAAACATAACCAAATGAAATAAAAATGGAATAAATTAATGGCAATCATGAAGTGTGAATGTGTGCAAGAGAGAGTTGTACCCAGGTTTCTCCACCCACCTATCATTTAGACAAGGTACAGGGAATGGTTAGAAGCAATAGAAAGATGTCAAACATGATTTTAGAAAGTCCATACCAGTTTTGAAAACTTCCCTGGCCAACCCCACCACCATCACCACCAAAACCAACATAACAAACAAATACACACCAAAGGGAGAGTTGTGTTTTATTTGATGGTGTGTTCTCCCATAGAAAAGAGTTTTCACATTTTATCAACTGCTTAGAATATAACCATTACCTCTTCCCTCTAAAATGTACCTCTTTCAAATGCCTTCTCTCCAGAGCCCATAGAAGGCATTCTTGGCAAAGAAACTGGCCCTTCTGACCAGATCCCTATAGAAGATGGAATGCTTCCTAAATTCCAGAAGTCACTGCAGTGGACTCAGTTTAAACTTTCATGATACTCTAATTTTACCATCTCAAAAGTATTTTGTATCAGAGGATCTATAACAATATATGTCTAAAAATCCTCCTCAAAACATGGTGCCAGTTATTTCTTTTAATGTGAAATTATCAGTACCTTAGAAGTTATAAAAACCTGATAATCATTAAGAGGATAAAAAATTAAAAGTATTTCACATTTCAGATCTTCAACCAGAACTCTTCTAATATTTCAAAACATGGCCCATGATTTATATTCTATTTCTAAAAGTCCAATCAAAGGTTATCATTATAGAGGTTATAAGGTACATATCCCAAATAGCTCTAGATTTTATTTTAGCTTACTATAATGTATGGAAAAATGAGGATCAAGAATAAGAAAGTCCCATTGAGACAATCCTCAGAATGTGTTAATGGTAAAGGACTTTTGACTTCATGTGTGATCCACTAATGCGTGATCCACCAATCCCACTGGCATGCTGCATAAATAAAAAGACACCTCCAAAGTTCAAAGATACTAATCCTAAAAAGAGTTGAAGTTCAATTAGATAATCATTTCATCAGAAACCTGCTAAATTGGTTGTGGTTCTTAAATGTGTTACAATTTAGTTTCATTCTGGTGTTGTTAGAGAAAAAGTTAGTTTTTATCTGGGTCAATATCCCAATATTCTAATATAGGATTCAAAAGCATTATAACTCAGTTCCATGTTTTTAAACTTATCAATTCTTATTTGATAGTTCATGACCACATTCAAAAAGCAACTAGTTATAAAATTCTATACACAATAATAGGGTTGTCAAATTTTCAGAAGTATCTAAGCCTAAACAAATAGATCATAATTTCATAAAAAAAAACAATTTTGGCCCAACTTACAAATAACCAAGGATGATTTAATTTGGAGAAATAATTTTCAAGCCTTAATCAGAACTACTCTATATTCAAAAACTTATAATTAAAATAGCTGTCATTATTCAGATTTTAGTAAGGTACAGAAAAACACAGGGGTAGCTGAAAAGATTAACCTTCCCTAAAAGCAAGCTCACAGAGGGCAAAAGGAGGGAGAAGAAAAGGAAATTCACTGCAGTACTGGTGGCCTCAACCCCTTTATGAAAGCACAGGTTCTCATCTGGTGTTACAATATCCTCATTCATGTTGATTCAAAAATCAAATTAAAAAAGATCAACTAAAAATGTTTAAATTAAAAAAAATATGAGATTGAATTAAATGATAAAATAAAAATTTAAAAGAGAACAAGAAATAAAAGACATTAGATGATGTTTATAAAAATACTAAAATCAAAAAGAATTCATCTTGCATTTTGTGCTCACAAAGGGAAATGAGGTTCCATCAAGCCCTGCAGAACACAAGAGGAAGCAGGTGGTTTGCTCAGGCATCAGGAGAAATAGGCCCCTCAGCTTCTTCTACATCGTGTCCAGGAAGGAAAAGCAAAGCTCTGCAAAATGCTGAAGGTTTTAGAAGTATAACGATGCTTAGGAAAGATCACTGGTCTGGTGTTGCAGCAGCCCCAGTGTTGAGAGACACGCTAGGCTTCTAGGAGGAGAAAAATAGAAAGGGAGGAAGAAGTAGGAAGGGGAAGGAAAGGGTGGAAAAGCACAGGTCATTAGTAAACAGCAAGTTCAACACAGCAAGATGCTCATAAACCCTTTATATGATATTAATGGAGCCGGTCTCTCTTAGGAATACAGATAATGTTCTGAGGGAAATAGAAATGGGAATTTTCAAAACGGTAGAGTTAGATGCTCCAGTTAGTGATGGCCAAATTATATGACCCCAAAACATGCAATCTTCACCCTCTCCTTATGCCTCCCTCTCCCAAAGAAACATGCACATTTTCAGTAAAGTACCTGCTTGAACACAGCTAAGAGGTCAAATTCAGTGTGCAAACTACATTCTACCTAAGGGTAGAGAGGTATTCAAGAGCAGCAAGACCCGCTCTCATAATGCCACTGGGCAGTTTATAATGAGCTCAGTTCTTTTTTGTCACCAGGGAACTAAAAGTCTTGAAACAGTAAGGGTCAGGCTGCGTATTTTTCCTCTTCTTTTTTTGCACTAGTAAGACTTGGAAGTGGGGAATAACTGCTACACAGACTACAGAGTTTGAGTCTCCTCTGGTCAGACTTGACATGCTGCTGGAGAAGAAACCTACTCTAGCTTTGGCAGATGTTTCCTCCCTAGATAAAATAGCATCTACTCTTTCTAAATTTTTTTTCTTTTGAGACTGAGTCTTACTCTGTTACCCTGGGTAGAGTGCACAGTGGCGTCATCATAGCTCACTGCAACCTCAAACTCCTGGGCTCATCCAATCCTCTTGCCTCAGCCTCCCAAGTCCAAGGTAGGACTACAGGTGTGCACATCTGGCTAATTTTTCTATTTTTAGTAGAGACAGGGTCTCACTCTTTTTTCAAGCTGGCCTCGAACTCCTGAGCTAAAGCAATCTTCCTCTCCTGTCTTGGCCTCCCACAGTGCTAGGATTACAGATGTGGCCACTGTGCCTGGCCCAGCATCTACTGTTTCAACTGGGTATTCAAATCAATCCCTTCTAGCCTTTCCCTACATTGGCATTGTCTCCTGGTTAAAGAAACCTGAATTTACTCATTTTTAAAAAGTTCATGTTCTGGCTGGTCCAATGGTAGTGAGTTATCAAAAGTTATTATCATTACTGTCACTAAAGTTGGTATACAACCCCCCACTTCTCAATTTGACTGGCTAAAAAATAAATAAAAGTTCATGTTCAAGCTGCTGCCTCTCTAATCATAGGGACTTTGGCATAAATGTTTTCTTAAAACCAAATCACACAGATGACTTTGCTTTCAAAGCAGGAACAGAAACAGTCAATACTGCGTATGACTGAGATTACCAAAGAAATACAAAATGATAGTTCACAAAACATGAAGATAAGGTGGCACTTCTGGTTGTTTATAGCTTCTAAAGTAAAGAGTACCTAGTTTATGAATTGCTAATACCAATAGTAATGTCTCTGGGTAAACAAACATTCACAACAAATAGAACCTAGTCATCAATAAATCTGAGGTAGGAAGATACATACAGTATTTTCTCAGGTCACAGAATAGAGAATAAATCCTGGAATAACTGCTTATTGCTAACAGAAAGCTTTTTGGAAGCCTTAGACATTACGAAATCCTGTGGTAGTTTAAAGAAAAGGTTCTCACAGCTGAGGTGTGCATACAAGAGAAACACAGAAACAGTATGTGCCTAGTGCTTATCTCCACTGCAGTAACGTGAATCAAATTAATGTGCCCCAGTTAAGAGCACACTCCGGTGCAGAAAACAGCGTGCTTGATCATTAGAAGTAACTCATTTGGGTCAACAATATCAGCCTGATCACAACCACAAATTAAGTGCAGTTATTTATAAAATACAACACACAACTCCCACATTGGCTACCTAAGAAAAGATTTATATAGTGCATCCCTGTGGATTTCTGCTACTGCTGAGAATTTTGCTCACTACAAAGACACTGGGGCAGGGGGTTGGTGCTGTTATAAGGTGGGAACCCACAGGACTCAGTACTAACTGATAGAATATCAAAGTCCTAGTAATAGACCAGATGTTAAATTTAGTGACAAGTTTCACAAGCAACAGTTAAAGGAAAGATAAAGGAAAAACAGACCACGGGCAAAAGAGAAGGAAAGAACTTATAATTTGTTGCTCACAGGTTTCCTAATGTTGAGCTGTGGAAAGCAAACTAAGTGCAATGTGCATTCAGGGAAGACACCTGCCTTAAAGAGTCATAGTGGCCGAATGTCTCCCATGTAACATATTTTGATGATTATTCTGCATCTGTAAGAGCATTTTTAAGATTGATCCAGCTCTTGTGTGGTACAGCTCCAACAAATATTCAAGGAATGTTAAAGGAAGTTCATTCTTCTCTTTTCATTGTTAGAGAGTTTATGTGGCAGATGCCCTGGGTTTAAATATATCCAATAAGAGCAATACCATAAAAAATAAGTCATATGCTTCTACCAACAATCCTTCTCAAAAGAGCTTATCAAGATGTTTACTGTGACTGTTTCACCCACACATTTGGGAAATCTTGGGAACTACTTACCTGTAGTATCATTTCCTTCTATTCCATGATCACCATTGGCTAGTACTGTTGGTTTAGGAGTATCTGCAACAATCACAAAGAATTACCCATTGTGATAGATAGAAAAATGAAAAAAGATCCAAGTACTGTCTTACCAGTTAGAATTTTTGTCACTCTAAATAGTATTGGCTGAAAGCACTTAAAAAGTGCCTAAAATTAAAAGACTCAATAAAAGAAAACCCAGAAACAGAACAGAACTAAGTCAGTAATTCCAACTGTACCCAAGCTCTGTTAAGTACCACTTCTACAGGACAGCAATCCATAATAGCAAGTCTGTCTTTTAAAGCTGTAAATGGTCAAAGATTAACATTTAATTCAATAAAACCATCTTGAAACGACACAAGTTTAATATCAGTGATTCAAATCAAATGTTCCAAGGACACAGGGCCATTTAAAAAAACTCCCACACAGGAAAACCAGAACACATCACTACTCCTGGAGGGCATCAGCAACCCTTCTAGAAACAGGGGACTACTTCTTCTTTAGCTATTTGAATAGGGTGCAGTTATGTCTTATTCTCTAATGACTAAAGATATTGAGCATGTTTTCATGAGTTTATTTGCCATCCCTTTATCTTCTTTGGTGAAGTGAATGGTCAAATTTTCTGAATATTTTATAATTGAATTATTTGATTGTTTTAAGTTTCGAGTAGTTTTTATATATTCTAAATATCAGTACTTTATCAGATGAGTTTTGTGAACATTTTCTCCCAATCTTTAACTCGTACTGCATTTTCACTTTTGTAACTGTGTCTTTTGCAGAACAAAACTTTAAATTTTGATGAAGTCTAATTTATTCTCTTTTATACATGGATTGAGCTTTTGATGAGTATATAAGAAATCTTAGCCTAACTTAGGGTTATATGATTTTTTTCCCCATGTTTTCCTCTAGAAGTTTTATAATTTTCATAGTTAGGTTTCACATTAAGGTCCATAATACATCTGAAGCTAAATTTTTTATACGGTGTAAGATGTAAGTCTAGGTTTTATTTTTGTAGATGGATATTTAACGGTGCCAGCATGATTTGCTAAAAAGACTATCCTTAGTCTATTGAGTTGCCTCTGTATCTTTGTGAAAAATCAATTGACCATATTATGTGTGGGTCTATTTCGGGGCTCTCTATTCTGTTCCATTGCTCTATCCATTTTGTCAATATCACACTGTCTTGATTACCATATTTATATAGTGTAGTCTTTTTTTTTTTTAGGCAGAGTCTCACTCTCTTGCCTGGGCTAGAGTGCCATGGCATCAGTCTAGCTCTCAGCAACCTCAAACTCCTGGGCTCAAGCGATCCTTCTGTTTCACCCTAGCTGGGACTACAGGCATGTGCCACCAAGCCCGGCTAATCTTTTCTATATATTTTTACTTGGCCAATTAATTTCTTTTTATTTTTAGTAGAGATGGGGTCTCGCTCTTGCTCAGGCTGGTTTCGAACTCCTGACCTTGAGTGATCCGCCCACCTCAGCTTCCCAGAGTGCTAGGATTATAGGCGTGAGCCACCGTGCCCGGCCTATGATGTCTCTTTTTTTTCTTTTCTTTTTACTCAGTGGCTGACAGTGTCAGTTCTATATGTTGATGTCTTGAAGTAAGGTAATATGAGTCCCCCAACTTGGGTCTTTTTCAAAATTGTTTTGCTTCTTTGTTTTTCCATATAAACTTCAGAATCAGTTATTAATTTATACAAAAAATCTTAATGGGATCTGATTTGCAATTGCACTGAATATACAGATCAATTTGGGGATGTACAACTTTGTCTGAAAGGTTCTGACTATATCTAACATTTCAGCAACCTGTCTACCTCTGCAGTCAGCCTACTGACCCAAGAGTTTCATATAAATCATTCTCAAGAATCTCACAGATAGCCGGGCGTGGTGGCTCACGCCTGTAATCCTAGCACTCTGGGAGGCCGAGGCAGGCAGATTGCTCGAGGTAAGGAGTTCGAAACCAGCCTGAGAAAGACCCCGTCTCTACTAAAAATAGAAAGAAATTAATACCAATCTAAAAATATATATACAAAAATTAGCGGGCATGGTGGTGCATGCCTGTAGTCCCAGCACTTGGGAGGCTGAGGGCAGGAGGATCACTTGAGCCAGGAGTTGAGTGCTGTGAGCTAGGCTGACACCACCCCCCTCCCCACTCCAACTCTAGCCTGGGCAACAAAGTCTGTCTCAACAACAAACTCTGTCTCAAAAAAAAAAGAATCTCACAGATGTATTTCTCATACGACAACAAATGAAAATCTAGAACATATGCTACTAAAATATAAAATGTAAGATTGTACTTTGGAAGAAACAAATGCTGTCCAACCCTTTGGTGTTCACAAATACAAGGCAGAAATCTTTCATACAAATTTCTCATTGAAAAGATCATTTATTCTGTTATCTCAGAGGAACAATCAAAGAGAACAACCTAAAAGAATAAGACAATTAAATGGAAGAGGCCGGGCATGGTGGCTCATGCCTGTAATCCTAGCACTCTGGGAGGCTGAGGCGGGAGGATCACTCAAGGTCAGGAATTCGAAACCAGCCTGAGCAAGAGTGAGACCCCATTTCTACTAAAAATAGAAATAAATTAGCTGAACAACTAAAAATACATAGAAAAAATTAGCCAGGCATAGTGGCACATGCCTGTAGTCCCAGCTACTCAAGAGGCTGAGGCAGAAGGATCACTTGAGCCCAGGAGTTTGAGGTTGCTGTGACCTAGGCTGATGTCACGGCACTCTAGCCCATGCAACACAGTGAGACTCTGTCTCAAAAAAAAAAAAACCAAAAAAATTAAAAATTTAATGGAAGAAAAAAGGAAATAAAGAAGTGAAAGATAATAGACTTCTATTAAATACCCACCCACTATGTGACACACACACACACCTTGTTAAGTCCTTACATACTGTATTTTACTTATTCAGAGAGATGCCAAAATGCTCCATCCCACATTTGGCATAAATAAATTCCCTTTCACATTCACACAATAATCTTATAGGACTTATTCTTCCTAGCTCAAGAAAGAATGCATATTTTTAAAAACCAAATAAAAGTAAATGTGGGATGATAGCATTTTGAATACCCTCAAAAAACAAAAAAAAAGACCATCACCACATACATAAATATTCAGAAAAAGAAAAAAAAGAAAGAATATATACCAAACACCTTAATTACTAAGGAATGGAGTCCAGATGGTGGGGGAAACTATTTTCCAAAGTCCTGTTATAACTGAGCACATTAAAGAATCTAAGAGTGGATAAAAATAGGAAACTGAGGCACACATGTTAGCCTCAACATACCACCACCAGTATTTAAAAACAGCAGAAAAGACTGTTTAAAAGAATAAAATAAAAAGGCCAGGCACAGTGGCTCATGCCTATAAATCCCAGTGTTTGAGGCCAAGAGTTTGAGACCAGCCTGGGCAACACAGCAAGACCACCCCCTACAAAAACTTTAAGGAAAAAAAATTAGCCAGGCATGGTAGCATTCGCCTGTAGTTCCAGCTACTGGGTATGCTTAGGCTTAGGCTGAGGCAGGAGGATCACTTGAGCCCAGGTGTTAGAGGCTGCAGTGAGCTATGATGACACCACTGCACTCCAGCTTGGGCATCAGAACGAGACCCTGTCTCAAAAATAAAAATAGATGTAAAAAAAAAAAGATAAAAATCAAGAAGGGTACCCTCCAGTGGACCAGAAATTATGAGTAATATCCAGGAAAATGAAAGCAAATAAAACTGCACTGAAGTAGAAACCATATCCCGGAGAAGGCAAAGGAAAGCAGGACTCCACTGAACTCTAAGCTTACAGGCAGCAGGGGTATTGGGTACTCCATTAGAAGCTGCCAGGCTGGTCCCCATGTTCCCCATGCTTTTCTTCCCACATCTCTACAGTAGTTAGCTTTGAGCCAACACCCGGATGGGAGTGGAGACTGGATGCTTTGGCACATAAGCAAGTCACTTTGCCAGGTGATTAGTGATACCCAGAGGAGTGGGGAGCCCTCATGCCCAGAGGGATTATCTACTGGTATTACCCACCTGGTGGCACTGTCACATACGAGTCAGAGGCAGGAGACAGAAAACAGTTATGCATCACAGGGTGTCTCAAACAGACAGTATTTCAAATAACTGAGGAAAACTACTACTCCCATAAGCCTCAAAGGCACCACATTCAAAGAGAATAAATACCATCCACGGAAACAATGTTGATATAGCAAATAGAAGACTTCTTTTTAAAAGAAATAATACATCATTTCCCTCAGAAAGAGAAGAGAAAATATCACACATCCATGGAACAAAAGCAAGCCCTAATGAGTGGTTTTTGTAAGTTAGCTGGTTTCTGATTCTTTATTTTCATCAAAATTGAAAGAGGCATAATGGAGCTGTTATCTGATACAAAACAGAATAAGTTTTTATAATATTGTACCATGGTATTCTTAACACGTAAGTATTGAGAACAATGCCATAATAAAGCTTCTATTCTCACATACTTAGCTATGTGAATAGAATTTCTTGGTAATCATGCCTACAAAAATAATAGGAATAAAATTGCTAAATCCTATTTTATCCTGGCAATAAATGCTGATCCACAGACTCATGATCTAATTGACAGAAATAAAAGGCCCTATTATCTCATTAAGAAAAGCATTTCTAATCAAATTCAACTTTTATGGTTAGTAATAACTTGTCAAAAAATGTAATATATGTGACCAACTGTTTGCTGATAATTGTGATGATAAATTTCTTTTGGAGCAAGTTAATATTTAGAGACTTATTGTTATAGGAACTTTTAAAGCTAAAACTTAAGTTTACATACATAGTTGCAGAAACACAGTAACATAATGAAGAAAAAACTTTCAAGCACAAAAATATATTATATTAAGATAAAAGTCTGTCTGAGACATGGAATAAAAAGGATTTCAAGGACTCAAAAGAAGGATTTAAATTTCCAATGATAAAGAACAGGTTGTTTATATATTCTTAAAATAGATGATAGGAATAAAAATGCTATATATATTTAAAAGCATTTAGATACATTTTGAAGAGTA